ACCACCATCGACTAAATTAATATAAAAAATTCAATATACCAATACGATAATATGATTCACTTACCTTACTAAATGATACAATGTCGTTCACAGAAGCATTAGAAGTAAATAATTTATCATTAGATAAGTTCTTACAATGAACATCAATCCTCTTAAAGGTCCCCTCTTCATATCCTAAAAGAGCAATAGGAGGATTATCAGTTGAAGAATGTCTGTCCCAGGAAACTGAAGAGACTTTCTTGGTATCCCAATCAAATAGAATGATAGGTGGATTAGGACAATCAAATCTACTTATGAAGCTTTTTCCATTATTCAGAAAAATAACGACTTTAAAATTGCAAAGAAATATTTTAAATTAGGATAAGGATGGATACGATTTAGTAACCATGGCACGCTCATAAAAATCCCAACTATTATCAAAGTGTGCTGGCCTTGAATAACGAGTTTTAAATGAACACAATTGAAAATTACATTCTCCATTAGCTGATGTAAAATACAAGCTAAAAACAAAAAAATATGTCGGTTGCTACTTTTAATCGGTTGTTACTTTTAAGACATACTTATTTAAGTCCCATTTAGACGCATACTCCGTCATTACAGATAAGACCTGACGTGATTCATTAAACTGAAATGACACATAAACCAGCAAGCTAAACCCAGAAATAAATCTACCTTTATACTCTCAGTAATACCTCCAATTGGTCTTGCAGGCAGCAATGCAGCTCTATTGTGACCACTACTGGTAATAAGATGTCCTACTTGAGTCAACTGTCTTACCATCCCCTCAAATAATTGACTATATATAACAGAATAATTAAATGAATAATAAAAGTACTTACCAGTGAATCTTAAGAGTATCTACAGATGCTGAACATGCCCTGTCTCTTAATAGAGATACAGTATCAGTGATACCATGTTCCTTCTTAATAACTTTCTTCCTTTCCTCCTTTTCCTTTTCTTTTTCATTACCCATTCTATACATTTCCCTCTCTTCAGCTGGTGGTATTTTGAAGTACCTCCTTAACAATTCGTCATAATAATACCCAGGGATCTCCATAATAAAACTTTATGCCCGGTGAAACAGCTTTAGTGGAGGTAGAAGAGACAAGGGATTTTGAAACTGAGACGGAGTCTTCCTTTGAAACAGCTGGTACATGCAAATTTAGCGACACAGAGCCACGATTATGCTAATATTATTATAGCCACGAGGTAGCACGCACTAGCACGTGGGCAGTCAGGTTAATATTATATGGGTGTGGTAACCACGCCTGTATTTTTTTAACCCTTTCTAAATCCCAATTACCAGGGTTTCAACACGAGGGTTAAGTAACAGAACCCTCGACAGAACCATGGGGGTTCCTGCCTTTTTTCGCTGGCTTTCAAAGAAATATCCTTCCATTGTTGTTCACTGTGTCGAAGAAAAGGTACAAATGACATCATTTATATAAATTAATAATGTTGTTTGTTAGAGAAAGAAGCTTCAAGGTATTGATGTACCCATTGATGCCACACTACCTAATCCTAATGAGGTTGAGTTTGATAATCTCTACTTGGACATGAACGGGATCATTCACCCGTGCTGTCATCCCGAAGACAAGTGAGAGAGGCGTCCATTTTATTATTATCCTAATTAATGCCAACTGCTCCTCTCTCTCTCTCTCTCTCGTTTTTACTTAGACCAGCCCCAGAGACAGAGGATGAGATGATGGTTGCCATATTTGAGTACATTGACAGGATATTCAATATCGTGAGGCCAAGGCGTCTAGTGTACATGGCAATCGATGGTGTGGTAAGCAATTGGTATCATTGATGCATTATTTGTTAGCAAAATTTCAGGCTATATTTATTATAAATTTTCATTCAAATTTGTATTTTTTTTTAGAGTTACTATTCCTTGTTTTTTTTTCATTTTTTAGGCTCCTCGTGCTAAGATGAATCAGCAGAGATCAAGAAGATTCAGATCTGCCAAAGAATCAGTGTGAGTCATGCAGTATCAGTTTGAATCATTGATATCTTTATACATGTACAGTACATGTGTTTGATGTACAACCTATTGTTCCTTTTTTATTTTCAGTGATAAACTTGAGGAGATAAAGAAAGTGAGGCAGGAACTAGCAGAGAGAGGTGTGGGGTTGCCTCCTCTTAAACCAGACAGTGCTCACTTTGACAGCAACTGCATTACACCAGTATGGAATGAACTAACCACACACTCAATTGCTCTACATGTGTACATGTAATCATATTAAATGTTGTTATTATTATTATTATTATTATTATTATTATTATTATTATTATTATTATTATTATTATTATTATTATTATTATTATTATTATTATTATTATTATTATTATTATTATTATACTTATACTCGTAGGGTACTCAGTTTATGGCTAATCTTGCAATATGTCTTCAGTATTACATTCATGACAGGATGAACCACAATCCAGCATGGAAAGGCTTAAAAGTACATTAATTATACATGTATTTTTATTAAATAACTTCCTATTAAAACTCCTCTTTTCTCTCTCTCTCTTTTTCCCCTTCAGGTTATATTATCAGATGCTAATGTCCCTGGCGAAGGTGAGCACAAGATTATGGATTACATCAGAAAGCAAAGAGCATCAGTTGGTCATGACCCAAACACTCATCACTGCCTCTATGGAGCTGATGGTAAAAATTATTATTATTATCATCCTCTCTCTTTAATGTAATTTGTAGCTCTCAATTATAATTATTTCCTCTCTCCTTCCCACTATTTTCCTTTCTTCTCTTCCTCTCTCTATTCCCCCTCCTCCTCCTCCTCTTAGCTGATCTCATTATGCTAGGACTTGCTACCCACGAACCATACTTCACCATATTGAGAGAAGATTTTAAACCTAATCAACCTCGCCCTTGTGAAATATGCAATCAATATGGTAGGTCACATTGTGTTTTCCCCTCCCTCTCTCTTATTATTTATATCGTCATCATGTACTAGTACATGTACATGAGAATTTTTGGGTGTGATGTACATTTACATGTGTTTCTTGGTACATGTACATGTACACACTGACAAATATTATTATACCAATTTATTTTCTAGGTCATAGTATGACTGAGTGCACTGGTGAAGCAAGAGAGAAGAAAGGAGAGGTGAGCTCTTTCTTTATCACTAGCATATATTTCTTTCTCTTTTTCTCTCAATTCATGCATTTTTGTATTATATTATGTTTTTGCTTCTTTCTTTATTGCAGTTTGATGAGCTAGCAACTGCTAACATTGCAATGGAAAAAGAATTCATTTTTATACGAATTAACGTATTAAGAGAAGTGAGTCTAACGCTGCTTGTGTACATGTACTTGTTGTATTTTTAATTTGTTTGTTTTTAGTATCTTCAGCGCGAGTTAAGGATTGATGGCTTGGACTTTAAGTTTGATTTTGAGAGAGCCATCGACGACTGGGTCTTCATGTGCTTCTTTGTTGGAAATGATTTCTTACCTCATCTGCCATCTTTACAGATTAGGTAAAGGAGAGGATTGAGGAGGAGGAGTTGTGCATATAAATGAAGACGTACTTCCTTGACATTAGGGGGGGATATAGTGTAGCCAAAGACCATGGGCTATAGTACAGGGTATTTTGTCAAAAATGGCACCGAGACAATTTTGCATTTTTATAATTCTTTCTGATACATATACGTGTTCTTATGTTGTATTTCAAGTTTGAGCTGATTCCGATCAAAATTGGATTTTTTAGAAAATTTTAAAGTTGCTCTGAAATCGGGCAAAAGTCCCTGTACTATAGTACAGGGACTTTAGTCAAAATTTGCCAAAAATGACTTGGTGAGAATTCTGCATTTTTATGATTTTTTCTGATACATATACATGTTCTTATGTTGTATTTCAAGTTTGAACTAATTCCAATCAAAATTGGATTTTTTTACAAAATTTTAAAGTTTCTCCAGATTCCAAAATTTGGCCAAATCTTTACATTTAGGATTATTACACGTGCTCCTCTGTATAATTATTATTTCAATCGATAGGGAAGGAGCAATTGACAGATTAATTAATCTCTATAAGAAGTTCTTACCCTCTACTAAAGTATGTTCATGTACATGAAAAATTACTACTTAATGGTTCGACTTCTCTCTCCCATATATAGTCATATCTAACTGAGAACGGATTTGTTGATGTTAAAAATGTTCAGCTCATACTTTTCGGTATAAATACAGCTGCCTATTTATGTGTTAATTTATATAATTTATTTTAGAACTTGGTAAAGTTGAGGATGAGATATTTATAAGACGAAGGGATCAAGATATAAGGAACAAGGAAAGACAGAAATTTAAGAGGAGGAGGATTGTATGTTAATCAAAGTTGCTACCATTTTATATCAATTTATAGGAAGATTACAAAGCTCCCCAGTTTATTCCTGAGCAACTTGCACCTGTGGTAAGCTACTGTGTGTGAGTACATGTATGTACCTATTTTGAGTCCCTCTATCTCTCTCTCTCTCCCCCCTTCCTCCCTCCCTCTCTCTCTCTCTATCTATCTATCTATCTATCTCTCCCCCTCCCTCTCTCTCTCTCTCTCTCTCTCTCTTTCTCTCTCTCCCTCTCAGCCTATTGGTTCTGCTCCTAGTCCAGCTGTTAATGCCCGTCATGATGCCTACCTCATGAGACAAGGACCCGCTCCGTCAGCAGGAGCAGGTGGTGTTAGTGGTAGCTCACTCACTAGCAATAAGGAAGCGGCTAAAAGCATGAAATCACTTCTAAAGAAATCAAAAGTATCTCATTACACACGAGTGCACACGTTGTGCATACTATAAATTCATGCTTGTTACAAAGTATGATTGTTTATTTATTAAGAATTTACGTTAGCCATGTTTCTAGGTATTGTAGTAGTGCATATGTAACATTCCAGTCTCCACTATTGGTTGTTATTTATTCTGTTGCTTGCTTTCTATGGGAGATAACATTATACATTATGCATGTATACATGTACATGTATGTATTTTGGAAGTGTTTCCCGGTAATTTGATCAGAGTCCAGAATTGAAACTTGTGTTGCCATTGCTTGCATAGCTTTATATTCACTAATAGTTGTAACTCTAAAAATTTCCCTCAAGGAAGTGATCCATGACTTGATTTATTATGTTTGTTTTATAAACTTGTCTATACATGTACATTTGTACACGTTACAGTGTGTGTATTGGAATTAAGGATATAGTCTCTCATCATTAAATTCATTTTTAGTCATTCGATGATACTGGCTCCTCTGCTAGTCAAGAAGGAGGCGGAGTCAGAAGAAGCCTTACCAGCGAGGAGGAGAGACCACGGAACACTCTCAAACGATCTTTCAGCGATGCCAGACGAGCCAACAGTGGAGGAAGAGGCCATGGAGAAGACTCTGGGTCTGAAGAAGATGAAGTGAGGTACGACAATTGGGATATTATTAGGACATTATTGGGATATTATTAGGATATTTTCAGGATATTATTGGGAATTTAAATGCTCTACTTTATTGCTATTAGCCTACATTTTGTATTTAATAATGTCTATCCTTTTATGCTTCAAGTCGGCTCATTATTTGTGCCAAAGTTTACCGAATGTGTGTGGCTGACAGCACACAGTACACTAGTACAGGCTCATCGTTCATGTATCGGCTATTTCATAAAATAGCAGAACCATTGAGTCTTGTAATGAGAAACTATTACTCAATGATGTTAGGTATTTTATTATTTATTTGTTGCTTCAATCATACATGTACTGCATGTTTACATATACATGTACATGTATATGTATTATGTACATGTATATGTACTAGTTGTTGCTCCTCCTGGTATGTGTATGGGTACATGTTTATTGTTTTTGTTTGAGAAATGTTTCAGTTCATTTGTATACACTTAATATTCCATTATTATTATTATTGTTGTTGTTGCTATTGTTATCTACTGGACATTAGTTTTCTAGGCCGTACAGCAGGTACCTGTAACATGATTATAAAAAAGAGGAGGAGTAACATTGCTAAACGTACCCCTCTTACTATGTGTATCATGCTTATATATATATATATATAGTACTGTATCAGTCCGTAATAAGCAGAATGTACAGTCACTGTAGATTCTATCTCCCCATCCATCAATTATTACTATTATTCCATCATTTGAAATCCATACTTGCCTTAAGGCAAAATACCACCCACACGTTAAAATCAGAAATTAATCATTCAAGACACAGACAGATGGTCCTAATTGTCACACAATGCTGTTAGCTATGCTTTCATGATTCTGTCACATTTTAATCATGTCGGGTCTAGCTAATACATTGTATATGGCTTCTGGTAGTATTTTCATCAGTCGGGCTTCATTAAGGATGTAGTTGTAATTCTTGGTTTCTGATGATTGATACAGTCTATGTTATCATTTTTGTTTATATCAATACAGAGTTTGCTCGCTATGTTTATACTTTAAATACTCTCTCTCTTTCCTCCCTCTCTCTCTTTTCTTATCTCTTTCTCTCTCTTTCTTCTCTCTCCCTCCCTCTCTCTCCTTAGGCTATGGGAGGACGGATGGAAAGAACGTTATTATCAAAGCAAGTTTTGTGTCTCAAGCAATGACATTGATTTCGTACGTCAAGTAGTTGAGAGCTACTCTGAAGGACTCTGCTGGGTAATGTCCTACTATTACCAGGTAAAAATAAACAATATTATCAGATAAAAATAAACAATAAAGAGTACAAACTAGTCTAATCATCCACTACTCTAATAGATAGTATACATTTGTCATTCATAGTGCCTCTTTCTCTCTCTACTAGGGTTGCCCTTCTTGGAAATGGTACTATCCGTTTCATTATGCTCCTTTTGCTTCTGATTTTCGATACATTCGTGACGTTAGGGATAGATTTGAGACTGGCTCAAAGCCAGTGAGCTCATGTGTATTTTAATTTTATCTTAATTTGTTTATCCTTCTGCATTCCCCCCTCTCTCTGTCTCTCTCTCTCTGTCTCTCTCTCTCAGTTCAGACCTTTAGAGCAGCTAATGAGTGTCTTTCCAGCTGCTAGTGCTAAGTTCCTACCGCCTTCGTGGCAGACCCTCATGCTTGACGATGTAATATACAATAATAATAATAATAATAATAATAATAATAATAATAATATTAATAATAATAATAATAACTAGTAAAGAATATGATTCAATATACCTTTATAACACTAGGACTCATCAATAATCGACTTTTATCCGACAAACTTTAAAATCGATTTGAACGGAAAGAAATTTGCATGGCAGGTATTACGAATGAGTGTAAAGATGCAGGTAAATGTATTTATTAATGATAGGGTGTGGCCTTGTTGCCATTCGTTGATGAGTGCAGATTGCACGAAGCATTAGAGCCACTATACCACATGCTGGATCCACTTGAAAGTCAGTATTATTAATTAGTGGGTGTGGCTCAGTTGGATTGATTAATGGGTGTGGTTTATATTTCCATCTGTATAGCTGTACGTAACAGTCTCGGTAATGACTTGATTTTCGTTCACAAGCTTTCAAAGTTGTATGCGTTTGCTCGGACACTTTACGAAGAGACACCTGGAGAGAAGGTAACACCATGGACTAACTTATAGCAGCTGCTGTTAATAGTAGTTAAATTTATATCTCGTAATGTTTCTTCTCAGGTTGGTCTAGTTTCAATTAATCCTGATTCCTCTGGAGGTGTCTCGGGGTCTGTCTGGCCTAATAATAACATGGCTGACATTTTGAAGAAGAAAGAATGGTAATAGAGGAAGAAGTAATGATCTGAAATATTCATGTGGAAATTGAGCATAATTTTTTGTGTACATCAATTGTTACAGCTAATTTTACATGTATTTGCATCTGTAGTATTTACAGTGGTCCTGTATGTCTATGGTATATTATACTTGTGGTTTAGCAGTACAAACTCAGGCCTTATAGTGGTTAATGACATAACCACTAATCTATGAATATCATTAATGATAGGTGCAACCCACAATAGCCTTTTTAGAAATGGGTGCTATAAAAGGGTATGCTTCAACTGAGTGAAGCATGATATTGCAAGGATGTGAACATGAAAGTTCAATTTTTGAATGGGATAATGATCCCTGATCTTAAGGCCACATTTACATAGCAATGAAAACGATGCAATCCGTATAGTTTTGTGCCTTTTTATGCTTCTGTTTACACAGAAACGAATGAAAACGTGATAGAATCTTGATAGAACTCTATGGAAACGAAAACGGTGTTCATAGTGGATACTTTAAAAACGATGCGTTTACGTTGCTGTGTAAACGTAGCCTAAGTCTAAAAGCTATAAATTAATAATCATGCACCACCACTCCACTCTCATGAGGTTGTCATGGTTCTAACTGAACCGTGTCATTGTGTTAGTCTCTCCTTTCTGTTCCCAGTTTAGTTGAGTCTCCTCTCCCACAGTTGGAGACTATAACTCCCACACAGGCAATATGGTGAGACTGACATGCCTACATACATGTGTCCTGGTTGTACTCATAGCCACAGTCTCATGTTATTTTGTTTGTTTTCTTTAGTCTCAATTATCAAGACCCAACCTTCAGGCCGGATCACATTTACGAGTCTAAGCTCCTCCCTAATGTCACTATGCCTCCTCCGACCTTGAGACCAGGAGACGCCAGGTTTGGTGGTATCCCCGGCGCCTACCGCCCACAGGTAATTAATGATAGTAGCTCAGTATGTACTTAATGTACACCTAGTAATTGGGCGGAGTATAGCTAGTCCAATTGTAGTGTTGTAACAGCTGTATTTGTTTAAGTGAAAAAATTATGAGGAAGTTGTATCATTGCATGAATTAATCTAAATATTTACATGTCATGTATTGTATTGTTATTACATGTGTACATGTACATGTATAGATTGGGTTTTCACCTCGTGACAACAGAGGAAGGCCTTATCAGACTCCGCCTTCTGCCAAGAGATTCATCAGGTTAGATCATAATACTACATGTGTGCATGTACACAGAATTGTTATCCTATTTCAAATTTCATGCTCATTACGGCTCGTTGATGTTGAAAATTTTTTAGAGAATTTTTCGTGATATAAGAATGCATTAAGACTTTAATTTGCAAATAATGAAATTCATGTGCAATTGTGCGTTACCCCAGTACGATAACCAACAAAACTGCAAGAATTTAATTGACAAATAAAAGATTTGCAGGATATCATTCTCCATGTATCTTGCAGTACATGTAGGACTAACATGTACATGTACATGTACATCTGATGGTGTGTGTATAAGGAATATGTTTCACATTAGCACTAATAACTCAATTGGTTTAGTTTAGATGTTTATTGCTCCTTTCCTTTGTCTTCCTTTTCATGTTGTGCTATCTGTTAATCATTAGCTAATTGATTCTGTGTGCCTTTATACATAACATATACATGTACATGTATATTGCATATACTTTCCTTTTGTAAGTTAATATGAAGACTGTTACATGTACATGTACATGTATGTGTTCTTGGTCACTTGGTGATAGTAATAATAATACACTTTGCCCTCTCTTCCTCTCTTTCTCTCTCTCTCTTAAACACTATAATGCTTCCTTATTTCACTTCTCTCTCTCTCTCTCTCTCTCTCTCTCTCTCTCTCTCTCCCTCTCTCCTCTCCAATAGAAATGCCTTGTCTGATGAGTCTCGTAGCAGTACTTATCACGGTGTACCGCCACCTCCTGGTTCCTCCTATCCTCCACCACAAGGTATATGTCCTACCTTTACTAACAGTAGCAGATACACGTCAGTAACACGTGTGGTGTAGCATAAGTGAAATCATCATTTTCATTGTTTGTAGGACCCTCTGTGGCATCATGGACTCCATTTCCTCAGCCTGATTTTGGAAATCCGAGGTCCCAGTACAGTGGGAGGGCTAGGGGTTCATCACAATATTCACATGGTCCCAGACGACCCCCTCCACAACAGTATGGACAATATGGACGCGACTCTGGGAGACAAGAGAGATCATATAATTACTCACGTGATCCCAGGGGGTCTGGATATGACCCCAGAGGTTCTGGATATGATTCCAGGGGTTCTGGATATGATTCCAGGGGTTCTGGGTATGACCCCAGAGGGTCTGGAGGACAATATGGACAATATGCCTCAAGGGATCCAATGCCATATTCATATGATAGACCTCCTAATGAATACCATTCATTCAGACAGCAGCAGTACAAGCGTCCATTGCTACCTCCTTCTCCTCCTCCTCCCTCCTCTTCTGATGGTTATGGCAAAGGTCACTATGATAATGATGGTGGCTCTTATCCTAAGGTTAGTCTGTTTATGAATATCATTTTCTTTACTTTATTTCTTTTCTCTGTAGAGATATCATCAGTGAGATAGCAACGTACTCTTAAAATAATGGTGATTTTATCATTATGATTATAATATTTATAAATAGAATTATTATTATTATTTAACAGTACGTGTTTGCTTCTCTGTCAGTTTTGTTTTGCTCAATTTGCAAAACAAAACACACTCCACACATGAAATATAGCATAATTATTACTCTTGCATGAGTATAGTCACACTTGATGGGGAATGGCATTATTTTCAGTTTAGGAATGAGTAAACACCAAACATGCTTTGGTGCTGTGAGAGTGTACTATTTTCATTACATCACTGGATGCAAACTTTTAAATTCAATTGCCATTTTACTATTGCTCTGCTGCTATATTCCTATCTATTGCTATTCATTAGCCTCCTGAGCCTGACTTATAAGGCAGTTTCCTATAGCATTGTAGATATAATTATTATTGTTATCATTCCTAATCTAATATTAATGGAGGGCGTAGTTTTAGTAAGCTAATTCTGGCTTGATTGGCTCTACTACACTATATATTTGCTGGCGCCCACAGTAACCAGGGAAAAAGTGAAGAAACATGAAGGAGCGTGCTTCATACCTGCACTGCAGCTTCTTCCTTCTCTCTCTCTTTTGTTTATTTACTCTCTCCAAGGCTCAACTAACCTGGCGGAATATTTCTAATCCAGAGGCACTCTGTAACGACTACACTAGGGCTGGATATTTTATAAGAAGAGAGCCAGGGGGTAGCAGCAAATGGCTTGTATTTTTGGAGAGTGGCGGCCTCTGCTATTCTATAGAGACTTGTAATTCGAGGCTCGTGCACCCTCGCATTAGAAGCAGGAACAAGCCACCAAGACAAGCATGGAATGACAACAAATTCCTTCCACCTAGAGAAAGAATCAACCCATTCATGACGTCTTTGGTCACTGCTACTGGGGACCCTAACGTTTCTGGGTTTTATGGACGTGACCTCCTCGACACAGACAGGGAGAAGAACCCCATCTTCTATAATTACAATCACATTCTCATTCCATATTGCAGCAGTGATGCCTGGCTTGCAAATGACACTAGGCCTAGTGTGCTTAATATTACTAGTCGAAGAGATTTTAATTTCTCCAACGACGCTTTCACTGACAATCTCCCAAAGCTCCAGTTTATATTTCGTGGTTCTGTCATATTCCGGAGTGTCATTGAAGAGCTCCTTGCTAACGAGAACCTCACAGACGCAACAGAATTGGTCCTAGCAGGTTCCAGTGCTGGCGGGATTGGAGTCGTCAATCATGCATCATGGGTGGAACAACAACTCAACCAATCCCTTACAAAGATTAGCATTATAACCGAATCTGCTTGGTTCATCAATTTCCGTGATAACATATTCATTCGTTTCAACGAGAGTAGCTCAAATAACGAAGAAGGCCTCCTCTCTATCATTTCTTCCATTCCTCAATGCTCAAACAATGACTCCACTTCTCCTTGCTGCATTCGTCTTCACTGCATGCTTAGCAGTCCCGAGTTCTTCCCGGCCGGGCGGATACCAGTAATCTCCCTAACTAGCCTACATGATCTCTTCATACTTTCAGACACTATAGCAACTACCGTCCTCCCTGGAGAACCCAGTAACAGTGATGGCTCTGGAGCTCTACCAGAGCTTGGAATATCGTTTCTAAACGTCATATCGGAATATGGAGGCGCAATGAACACCACCCTAGCTACAGCTGCTGTCATTCCTGGTGTGAGCCTCATCATTACCGAATGCTTCCAGCATATTTATTTTGCTACTTCTACTCTCTGGGATCACAATGGTATACTCTCAGACACAGCTGTTGTGGAGCTGTCTAATAGTCTTGGCTCATTTAGTGCTTCATACAAGTAAGGATAGTATGTCTATACAGTAGTGTGAGAGCTTGTGGTGAGATATCACGTACTAATGTTATTATATTTAGTGACCATGACCATGCATTCTGTTGTAAGTTTATGTGTAGTATTTTTGTAGTATGGTGCTATCTTGGGCTGTCTTTTATTTATTTTCTTGCGACCGAATTTGATGAATAGACTTGTTTTGTATTGTTTGAACTGTGAGCATATGTCATTGCATCTTAATGACTTAATGGATACATGTTTATCCTGTACTATTGTACATATATGTGCTGTGTGTTCATGCATCTCATCATGCGTGTTTGTGTGAAGTTTCTCTGTTGCATGTACAACACTCTAAGATCAATCCTTTGGATTGTGTTTAAAAGGTGTACCCCACCCTATGTATGTATAGTGTATAATTTTCCTGTATCTTATTTGGAAAAAATAGTTCAGGAAATGCTTCCATTTGAGTCCTCAGTGGGTCATGTTATGACTTCTGGAATAATTTGTTTATTATGTAACAAGTGTAACCATATTTACTCTATAATTTTCCCCATTCCTCCTCTTAATTCTTCCGTCTCTCTTCTCCCCCTCCTCCCCCTCCTCCTTTCTCTACCAGACATAATATCACCAGTGGTACATGGTCTTCCTATTTCTTCTCTGGCAGCGGTAGAGCAAGTAGTAACCTCACATTGATACAGAGCTCGTGTGACTCCTCAAATGTAAGCAACATTTATTATAATAACTACAAAAAATTAATTAAATTAAGGCTCATTAGCAGTCAGAGAGGAATCATTACTAGAGTGCATAGAAATGAGTAGCTATCTTAAAATTATCTCACCAATCTGATGCCATGCTGTCCTTAACAAATTTAATAATGAATTTATGTTGAGTATAATGTACATGTACTGTACTCGTCAAATTGGTAGTCATTCTAAGTAAGAATTCTTATGAATTGTAAGGAATTTAACAACACGACTCCCTGTCACACAATTCAATTAGAACGATCCATTATTGACAGTGTCCCTGGCATAATGTGAGAAGTATTTTGTGAGATGTTTTAGCAACACTATCATTAACTTTCATGTATTTCCTACCATGTACTGTGACACACTGTAGCTAGTGATTATCAAAACCTTCTTTCCTTCCTCAATACAGGCTCTTACTATTCAAGACGCCATTCTCATGTGGTACTATTGTCGTGACAGTGAGACTATGATATTCAGAGATCACTGCACGACTGTTCATTGCAACCAGGAGTGTCCTGATGAAGTAGATTTTGCTTTTGATCTGAGTGACCCAAGGAACTGGATAGTGAATGCTACGTCGGCAGTTGTTGCTTCCATCACAGTCATTTCTATTGCTTTTAAAGTAAGTCTTTACATGTACTTACATGTTGTATACATGTATGTACATGTACTGTGTACTTGTTGTATATGTGTGGGTGGGTATTGGTTTTGTTTTGTGTTAAAAGACAACTAACGTTTCAGGGATTCACAGAAAGTATGCTAAGTGAGTTAAATAGCTAGCACACTTTATGAGCTTACAAGCAAGCACTGTACTGTCAGTGTATGGCTTTTTGAGTAACTTTAAAAATTCATAAAAAATCCAATTTTGATCAGAATGAGCTCAAACTTGATAAATAACATAAGAACATGTATATGGATCAGAAAAAATTATAAAAATTAATAATTCTCATCAATTCATTTTTGGTGAAAATTGGCCAACGACCCTGTACTATAGTACAGGGACTTTTGCCCAATTTTGGAGCAACTTTAAAAATTCATTTAAAAATTCAATTTTAGTCAAAATTAGCTCAAACTTGATATACAACATAAGAACATGTATATGTATCAGGAAAACTTATAAAAATGCAAAATTCTCACCAAATGATTTTTAACAAAGTATTATGTGTTAGTGATGAGCATCAAGCTAAACAGCACTGGCAAGACCAAAATCCAATGGGATAAATGCAAAACTGCTATATTAGCATTATTGTTATTATTATTATTAGTGTTGTTATTATTATTATTATCATCATCATTATAATATAGCTGGTATTCTTTATTTGGGACTCAATACTATCACTGAAGTATAAGCTGTACATACACAGAATGGTTGGAGAGCAAGAGCTAACTAATCTACATGTACATGAGGAATCTGATGGCCCTAAAGTAATATACATCAATTTTACAATTATTATTATTATTATTATTATTATTATTATTATTTTCTATTGTGTGTTGTGTTTCTATGTTAAACTTTAAATGCCTATCATTCATTGTGTATATTTTTTATATTTTCTTCTTGTTTTATAGTTCCCAGAGTGCAGTATAGAAGAAGCGGTGTCTGTAGCTTGTGTTGACCTAAAGTACAGCATTGACTTCCATCCAAAGAAAGTGAAGAATGAGAAAGAGGACAGGACCACAATATCACTAGTCATTGATGATGAAGAGCCAGCCATTAAGGACAAACCTCCCCTGGAGAAGAAAGGTGAGTGAGTGAGTATAGGACAAGAATGTGTAAAAGTACAGCATTTATAATGAAAGCACTCACAGCTATCATATTATAAATACATGTAATTGCTTGGTATTTCATGAATTTTGTTTGTGTCCAAGTTGCTAGCCACATGAGAATATTGGGTGTGTACATGTACATGTAATTATGCTAGTAATTCGATATTAACACTAGCACTATCTGATTCATATTTGATTCATACTGATTCATATTTGATTCATATTTGATTCATACTGATTCATTATTATAGCTTCATCAAGACTTCTCAGGAAGCCCTCTGATTGGTCAGATTGGACGGCAAGACTCATAATTAATAAACAAAGAAACAGTAAACAAAATTATATTGTTTGTGTTTGTATTTTTATTCTTTATTTGTGTAGTGTCGTCATCAGCAATGTCTCGTAAGTCCATTGTGGTGGATCTTCCTAAAGAAGATGAAGACGATGATGATCATGATGATAATGATGATGATGATGAAACTAACAATACTAATGGAGAGACAACTCCTGAATTACCTCAAGGTATTCCTGTGTACTTGCATGAGTATGATTATAGTACTCTCTCTCCCTCTTTCTTTGTGTCTGTAGCTCATCCTAAGTTGCAAAGACAGCCTAATGAAGTGTCTGAAGAAACAACCTCTCCCCCATCATACAGTAAAAAGGTAATTTTCTTCTCTTCCTCTCTCTCTCCCCCTCCTTATTAATGGTTATATTTAATGCATGGTTATTATAATGGTTATATTTCTTATAGATCAGTAATGCTAGTTCCCAGGATCCATTAATGAGTTCTGTTGGTAGTAGGACATTACAGAGAGCCTTCCTTCCTGCCATGCCTCCTCCGATTGATGAGGCTGATGGCCCGGCAGTACGTGACACATTCACTAATTGCTGTTTTATGATTATTGTATCTCTTAGGGAAGCTCATCCCATCATTTACTACAGTCAAATCCTTCCATTTCCAGCTCAATGTCACAAGTAAACATTTTATTTATTTATTTATTTATTATTATTATTATTTATTAGACCAAGCCTACTCCTGGTCTGTGTGGTTTTGGTCGAGTGAGGAAAGAGATATTAAGAGGCATCTCGCTTTACTTCAATCCTGGAGAGCTAGTCGGGATAATGGGACCTTCAGGTTAGTATTATATATACCATACATATACATGTATGTGTAAATTTTTTTACTTTCCATAGGCTGTGGTAAGACAACATTTCTAGATTTGTTAACTGGAAGGAGAAACAAAGGAAACGTTTCTGTTAGTTATAACGACGCACGCTTACATGTACATGTATAGCTTTGTATGATCTGCAACTCTTGTTGAGTTCTTCTTGTATATTATTTGTATATTCTAGTATATTCCATGTATATCTTTGTATATTGTAGGGTCACATATACATCAATGGCTACCCTCTTGAGCAAGTCAGGAAGAAGTACATATACAGCACTGGGTACGTCCTCCAGCTGGCCACACCTTATTACGAGGAGCTCACTGTCCGTGACAACCTCACCCTCTCTGCCCACATGAGACTGCCCTCGAAGATGACCTGGAGGGAGAAATTTGAGAGAGTGGAACAAGTTATGAGCGTGGTAAGTGATATAAGTATGTACTGCAAGGAATGAAATATTGGCTGGGGAATTAGTGGTTTGGAAAAAATATTTAATCCAAAATTATTTGCAATTTTGTTTATTTTGTACATACTCAATGCTATACAGCTCTTAAGTCATCAATATAAAATCTTCCAATTGCATTTTGTAATGAAAACACCGGATAAACTCCCACCAGTTTTATTATGTAATATAGTAGTGGCATTATATTCTTAATATCATTTTATAGATTTACATGTATATGTATGCATGTAGCTTACATGCTCTTACTATAAACTCCTGTATGTATAGAGTATAGTGTTAATTGGTTTTTACTGTGGGTTGCACAAAAGCATACTTATTAACGCTAATTACTGAATTATAGTAATTAGAGCCTGGAGCCAGTAATAACACTGACGTATCAGGCAACACATCACATGTGGGAGTGGAGTCTAAAGTATAGGAATAAGAGGATCCATCATTCATTCTCATTTTATTGTGCCAAATATAAGCACTATATTACTGCATGCAATAATGATAGCATATAACAGTAATAATAATAATAATGATAATAATAATAATAATAATAATAATGATAATAATAATAATAATAATAATAATAATAATGCTACTAATAATAAGAGTAGCTATATATGTACAATGTATTATATATCTATAATAATGGTTCTTGTTTTTCCTTGTTAGAATTAATTAGGATTCTTTTATACCCATAATGACATTATAGTTCGTGTCATGCCAATAGGCATGAACAATATGTCTTCCCAGTATACATACAAAGCCATTTATTGCTGGCAACCACACGCTTGTTTCTATTGTCTTCCCTCCCCTCACTCCTTTAATGGCTGCTCCTGTTGTACTCCACACTGTGGATTAAAAGG